CCCCCCCCCCCCAGGTTCTTCCTTGCTTCATTTGTGGGGTTACCTGTCATCAGGAGAAAAAAACATCAAAGTTACGTACTCTGACAGAGTTCCCTTTAACCACTATCAGAGAACACTACACTAAGTACAGATTTATTACCTCTGTAATGCAGATAAAATGAGATTTTATGGCTCTGTAGTCTTGGCAGCATAAAGTAATAATGGAAACTATCTACTCAAGTAGGGAACGCATCCTAGGAGGAAAGGGAGATGCATGGGAGGTTAATCGTGTGTCCTCAAGCACTGCCAGATATCCTCTCGCCAATCTCACTGGACGCGAGCCACGGAGCGTTCAGCCCAGCGCGCCACTGAAGAGAAGTCTCACCGTTCATTGGCTAGATGCTTCTGCTTATTTTTCACACTAAAAACATCCCCAGCAAGAGGAAGCATGAAACTGGACAAATATTCTTTTTCTCATAGGAATCAGTTCAAAACTGAGAAATGAACAGGCATGAAGAAATGCCTCATGAACCCAAACTGTGCCCACACCTGAAATCCCAGAAGAATCCCTAAGGAACCAGGCCCACCATCATCCCACCTTCCCAACCCCCACGGTTGTGAGCTCAGGCACTGCACTGGCACGAGCATGGCTCCTGCCTCCTGCTCCCACCAGTGAGCTACCCCTAGCTGTGGAAGGAGCTCCACCATAATTCCTGGGGCTGTCAGCTGCAGCGTCTTGTTCAGATCCCTCTAGACACGAGTTACGAGGCTGAATTTGAGCTGCTGGGAAATGCACACGCTGGCTGTCCCTGTGCTGCGAGGTGCAGCTTTAGGCAGGCTGCCACCTTGCACGCCCGACTTTGGCAAATTCACGCAGACAGAGTGCTCTCTGGCCATCCTCTCCGTGTTTTGAGAGGCAGGGCATGGCCCAGCATCTAACAGAAAATTCCCCGGGGTTCAGCCACTCCGAGCACAGCAGCAGGATCCGCCTTCCACAACTTTCTCTCAGAGTAAGAGCTGTAACAGACTGAATCGTGAGACAAATCCCACTCTTTTTTCTTTTAATATTTTATTAATAACCCATTAGTTAAGGAATATAAGGACAATGTCTTCTTACACTTTAACACTAAGGAGTATTTGTGGAGTAAGAACAGTCTCTGAAGAAAGAAAGTTATAATTAAGTACAGCATGGAACCAAACACAGACACAATCTTCAAACGAGATCAAGTTCTGGTTACACATTCTTATGCACTGTGTAGAAAATTAAATGAAATTCCAATACAAGCAAGGGAATACAATAACAGAACTAGATGGTAGATTTCTGCTGGACTAAACACTTCTTTTCTAACAAAAGTATTGATTAGAAAAGACACAATGATCCCTTCAAAACAACTATTTCTAAGGAGATCAAAATCATATATAAACCATTATAATGGTTGTTTTCTTACACAGCATATTTCATGGGCTGATCTCAAGATTGTTAGCTAATAATGCAAAAAATTCTCAAACCCTAGATTATAAATTATCTCATTTGAACTATTTAAACCAGAACTTTGCTGTCTGTTAAGTAAGAAATAAAATCAACAAAAAGTTGAAAGAGATTTTTATCCAAGTCATGTGTTTCATGTAACAAGGAATTAAAAATGAAAGGATGAGAATTGCGACTCTTGCAGCAGCACGGGGAATATACAGTTGTGTAGCCAAACAGTAACATTAATACTACAAAATTATGCCAGTGAGACAAACCTGACATGTTAACAATGTAAAACAATATACACCAGCAAAATGTTGAACAGCAATAATCTTTAGTGTTACTGAAAGGAAGAAAAGGGAGAAAGAAGCCTGATGTGTAGGAACATAGATTAAGTATGATGGGTAATTAAAGGTAACAACAGTTTGTGTGTCTGTGAGAAATCTGCAAGAAAGCTACTTATTTCATGATAAAAAAATATATGCACTGGTTGTTTCAGCTTCACACACAAAATGTGTATTATCTGTCTTCTTCCATTCATTGCTAGCTGAGACTAGAAAGGTCTCACGTGCGTTCAGGACAGGAAGGACCTGGGCTACAGCCGAGTTGGACAAGGACACCCAGCACTCCGCCTGGACACACGTTTGTAGTGAGAACAGCTTCGCTGCTGCTGGTCAGCGCTGATCTCTTGGCTCTGAGGAATGGCCTTGATTTCTGTAGCTGAGGTCTGCCATGCCAGTCCACGGCCACCACCGTACTTGGACATCCAAACACTGCCAGTTTCACACGCTGGTACAACTCAGTGGGACATAACAAGATCAGAATAAGCCTCAGCGTGAGGAGACAAAGTATTTTTGTGCTGCATAAGCCGAATTGTTTGCACTCTGCTGTATCTCCTCCAAAGCTCTTGGAACACGTAACTTACTCGGTGGTTTTGTGATTGGCCCAAGGTGATCCAGGGGAACGGTGCCACACCACGCCAGCTTGTGCTGGCTTCAGTAACAGGCAGGGACAGCTTTTGGGCAGAGCAGCAACGCTCACCTCATGGCTATACAACTGCTGAAGTCAGTCCAGACAAAGCAAAGGGGACACGTACAAGGGAGTGCCCCCAAAACTGTGGCACATGCCTGAATCAGCTGCTGGACTGAGCCTCCACCCCACAGGCCCCTGATGGAAAGCTCAAGGCTGGCACATCACTCACCCCAGGCACAATGTTATGACAGGGAGCCAGGAGAACTCCGGTGCCCTGGTCACACCTGCTGCTGGCCAAAGTCCTGCCGGCGCTGCCTGCTAAGCAGAAGTGCTCCTTCGGCGTGCTTGCAGGCAGATGACTTGGTTTTGAAGGTGAAAGAAGTCACCAGGGGTTGGTGTGAGAAGTCACCAGCTCTGGAATGAGCTTTCTGGTCCCTCAGTAGCAGCAATGTGGCTTGTACAGGGTCTGTTCTGTCACCAGGGAAGGGTGAGGACTCTTCCATGAAACTAACGGCAAATGGAGGGTCCAGCTGCAGAAGTCTCCCCCACCCTCTGCAGCTAACACCCGATACTCCCCAGCTGGAGGGTTTGTACCTCTGCAATTGCATCCGCTCCCATATAACTGTAAATTGCCCTTATTGCCCTCAATAACACTTCACTGCCTTATCTGTAACCCTGCTAGGTCATTACTTTCAAAGTCTTGTGAGTGAGTTCTGGAGGTTGTTTACACACTTCCTCTGCCCAGTTACGGTTTCTTGCCTTTCTAGCCTCTTGCTCTGGTAGCACACACACTAGCTGCTGACCAGCCTGCTCACTGGCACTAGTTTCCAGTCTGAGCCACAGCCTTTCAGAGTCATGGTGTTTCAGAGCACGGAACAGAATTTCCGAGACTCCTCAGGACACCAAGTGTCAGCCAGAGCAACAGAGTAAGTGCAAGGACTGGAAATACAGACGTTTACCAGAACAGCGTGTCATGCTGGGAGGAGATGTTGTAGGAAAAGGATAGGTAGAAGCTCCAATATCCTTCTCAACAGGGTACACAGAGGTCTGCAGGTACTCCTCTGCTGAAGAGCTGGAGCTAACAGGGTTTGATGGAGGATTGCAAGGACACGGGCTGGTCCAGCTCAGCTCCAAACACAGGGCACACTGCAGCAGGGCTCTTCACAACCGAAGTAGGGATAGGGTGCTGGTGGAGCAAGGTTGTCCTTGCTGCTAGCATGTGATATCTCAGTCCAGATTGCACCACAAGAAGGTTTTTTACAGGACCTCAGGTCAGCACACAGCTCCCCATATATCTCAGGGAATTTCAGTAAGAAAAGAGGGAGATGGGCATCTTTCCCCTCATTTTTTAAACAAAACAAATGGCCAGATCTCTGAATCCTCCAGGAAGGCAGAACATTTACCAAACACCCAATGAACAGTTACCGATCCTCGTTGCCCCCATGGAGCTGGTCCAAGCTGTAGCATTCGCAGTCAAACTCTGCAAGCCTGGAACAGGGCAGAGACAGGCTCAAGAAAAGGTAGAGAAAAGTTCACCCCGCACCAGGAGGCCAGGCTGAGAGACATGTCAGCAGTAAGCAAACAGCATCTGCAAGGAAGAGTCACTGGGTGACTTTCAAATCAGACTGGCTGGTATGAGACCAAAGGTTTTATTTTAATTTTCAAGCTCTGCTGTTGCTCTGCTCTTAAAAAAAAAACAACCAAAACCAAAACCCACCACCCAACAACCAAAAGCACTTTGGCCAGGACTCTCATAAGTGACTGGAAAATTTCACTTGTTCATCCAAAGCCATCAGCAAGTCCACTGCTTACACAAGGCTGAGAGCTGTTCTCTGGAAATCAGAATCATCTGAAATGCCTGCACTTGGGCATAAAAAAAAAACCAAACCAAAAAAACAAACCCAAAAAACTAGATGTTCCCAGGACCACAAGTTACTTTTGCAATTGTTGATTCTTTTTTCCCCAAGATGACAAGTTACTTTTGCAATTGTTGGTTCTTTTTTCTCTTCACTACTATAAGCTTGTTCAGGAAAGATGGAGCAGCCTTCTTTGGCTAGCTCCTGCAAAACACAGTCCTAGAAAGAAACACAACCCAACTCTCCCGCTGTAGGGAAGGTGTCCTACAGCAACACTTCAAAACAAAGCAAGAGACACAAAAGGTCTGCAGCACTATGCCTTAAAAATAGTCAACAACCAGTGCAAACATATTCTTTAGAAAAAGGCAGTATAAGAATAAGTTAAAACCTATAATGGACTATAACAAAAGAGTATATCTACTGCTTTTTTTTTCTCCAACAGACATGAGGTAGTTGTGTTGTTAGGGAGGAAAAAATAAAGAAAGAGTCAAGTAGTAAAAATGCTACTCTATACCACACACTACTCCACTTTATAAAATTAAATAATATAAAGATGTTCCAAGGAAATAAAAATACATGTTGTACATTAAAAGGACAGATGTGTACCTAAAATATTAGGTACAAGAACCTACATAAAACAAAGCCCAGGTTGGTGAAATGACCCAGACACTGAAGAAGGTTCTATATAGTACAAGTTGTTAGAGGCACTCGTAGAGTGTGTAATAAAAGGCCACTACATCAGCCTGCTAGTCCTAGTTACTGTGGTAGCATACAAAGAGAGCCTTATCATCCTTTTAACCACGGGAGGGCAGAAAAGGCTGGTGGTTACAGCTCACTGAATTTGTTTCTGTTGGCTTCCACCCCGCTGTGGGACTCCTCTGACAAAATCCATCCCAACACGGAGAGGCAGTAGGTAATGCCGAGGCACTCCTTGGTGAAGAGACGGTTGAGAAGAATCGCTCAGTGTAGCGTGCCTCTCCCCAGCACTAGGAGATGTCCTGCCAGTCGCCTTGAGGACTACAGCTAAGTGACAACCCCAGCCTAACGCAGAAGGCTCAGTTCTAGCTCTGGTTTCACATCAGACTTTGGCAGATGGCTCAATCCTGCTCCCACAAACACCAAGTTACTCATCAGCTGTGGTGGGAAGAAGATGGGCCCTTACCAATCTACCTATTGATTTCTTGAAGGCAATATGTACAGCTGACAAGGTCCGAATCCTGCTCTGGTGAGCTGCTGTGCCGCCTTACCTCCTGCTGGGCTGAGTCAAGGGCATGCAGCACCTCACAGGGACAGGCCCTTATAGCACTTCTAGCTCTCCCATGATCAAAATCAGATTAGTTCACTCTTTAATGATTGTGGACACATGCCATGCTCTCAGATGCTGAGGATGAACTGGTTAAACCAGAGTTACTACAGAGGGGGGCCTCCTCCAAGGCTGGGGAAAGAGATTGGCACTTGACTGGCTGCACATCCCCGCTGCCTTCCTGGATAGAGTCCGAATCTCCGCTCTCCACCGAATCCAGACTCTCCCTGTGCCTGTGGAAGCCGTTGGTGAGCCCACGGATGCAAACGGCCTCTGTTTTGGTAGTCTTTCTGTCGGTATGTAACAGCTCGTCTGGGGCCTGAGCCTCAGAATTGCCCAAGCAGTCCACCAGCATTTGGTTAGAGTCCTGCTGGGTGCTGGGCGAGCTGGGAAGAGCCACCTCTCCCGAGGGGAGCTCCTCAGGCTCCTGCTCCTCAGTTTCCGTCTCTTCACTGTCAAGGGTGTGCAGCTGGGAGTCGTAGTCTCTATCGGAGGCTGAAAAATCAGAATGGACAATCACCTCTGCTTCCACTTGATGGAGGCTGGCTGGTGGGTGACTTTTCTTTGCTTCATTAAAAATAAAAAAAAAAAAAAAAAGGTAAAGTAAGTGAAATTCAGATAATTGAGGCTGTGACCCAAGCAAGCACAGAAATGTATTTCTTTTTAATCCCACAGAGTGCAATGGAATGTACACATGCCTCTATTAAGCATTATCTTGATATGTTTCTCGGAGCTGAAGTCTTAAGAAGCATCTCAAATCACCTCAGGATCATTATTCGTACTTTACATCTGGGAAAGCAAGTCCCAAGAGAGTGAAGTGATTTGCCTACATTTTCTTGGCAGGCTGGAGCAACCACTCCTTCAAGTCTCAAAGACCACAATTTCCCAAACTCACCTGTCTATTTCCTTATTAAGGGCCAGATTTCTAGAGGGCGAGGGGGCAGTGCTCTAGGAAACTGGCTTCCGAGACAGCTCATGCTACAGACCCACAACTAGATACCAGGGCTCCCCTCCCTGGTTTAATTTTGGCTACATACACAAAATGTTTGTTAGCGCCCCGGTCACAGCTTGCAAAAGTTGATGTAAATTCAAGCACTTTAATTCAGAAAGAAAACAATCAGTTCTCCTCTGCAGTGTTTAAGCAGAGTTCAGGCTCCACAAATCTGGCTAACAAGCAGGTCATTCTAGATTATCATTCAGTAATTTAACAAATTATTTTAGAAACTCACAAAGAGTTGTCTAGGTAATCAGTGCTTAGATTCTGGGCTGAGTGTGATTTAGTAGCAAGAAGACAATTCAAAGTATGGAAGTGATATCCCATGTATAATTTGCACTGCTAAAACCAACTTTGTGCATCATTTACATACTTTAACACTTTTCTCCTTTTGTTGACAAATTCTGATGGGGTAAGCTGTGCTGTAAACGGTACCCTGTAATTGGGTTGTAAAACACTGTCTTAACTCTATCCACAAAGTTAATTACATCCTGTGTTTAATTGGTTTTCACACTACTACCTAGGAAGGAAAAACAGGTAGGTTACTTAGAAGTATTTGCTAGGGGTGGAGAGTGAACTTTTTATAACAATAATCAAAGAAACCTTCTGGTACAGAGCAGGTGTCATCTTGCTTTGCTCAGACTGTGGCATAGACATCATAATCCTTGTACAACCTCTCCCAAACATGGGAGTGCTTATTTATTCCAATGATGCAATACCAGAAACAGGATTTCCTCCCAGTCTGTGCATCCACATAAAAAAAGACAAGTGTAGTGGAAATTGCTTTGCCCTATCTGGAGAAGGAGTTTAAATTATCCCTTGATCTTTGACTCCCTGTACAGGCAAAAATGCCATCCCTCCTTTAGGCGAGCACACTGTAGATCTTAATGACTGCACTGAGCACTGCAGCTCCTAACTCATTCATCTGCTTGCTGCATGGCCCCAGCAAAGACTCGAAGCAAACTGCTGGTGCCTGGCTCCAGGTCCTCAGGAACCGGGACTGACTACAACCCTGCAGACAGCTGAGCCGTTGGACCCCCCTGAACCATCACTGAAAGAACAAGGCCACAGCACAGACCCTGCAGGGCTGGCGGGAGTCGAGACAGAAGATGGGGGAAGAGCTGAGGCTTTGAGTGACGCTTGGGAAAAACAAACAGCTTTTACTCAAATCCCATCAGTCTCGCTGGCATACACTCCCATACCCAGGGAAAAAAATAAAGCCCATGATCAGCCAACTTAAGCTAGCTCAGAGAAGAAAACATTTTCTCCAGTGCTGTGAAAAGGAGATGGGAAGCATAAGTGGAAAAAGTCACATCAGAATACACAAGTCAATAAAGACACCCACCATAACAGCATCGTAAACCAGAGCTTGTAACAAAAGCTTCTGTCCTGCGCTGGAAGGGAGCTTCAGCGATCCGTTCACAGCAGAGAGAGGCTCTTTTGTGATAGTGTCCCCATATCTGGCTATGCTGTTTGTCCAGGGCTGGTTGGCTGATTTATTCCATGAAGACTGCAGAAGAAAAGTGGAGAAAAGATCCAATTATCACAGAGATTCTTGTCCTCATAAACCTGAAATGAGAAGCAGCTTGAAAAAGGAAAGTGCAAGTTGGGAAAAATACCATGGTGTTGGAAGACACAAATTAAATGTGGAAAACACTTCTGATGGCATCAAAATAAAAATGCTTGCTGCAATGGACTCAGAGTCACCGCTTTAGAGCAAGCTCTATTGCTGTTATGTGGTCTGATGCAGAGCAAGGGGATAAAAGTTGCCAGACAGTTCACAACTGGTTGCATAAGACGCTTTCCACTGATTCTCAAATTCTGAGGTCAACAGGTATATGATGGCACAAAACATCATTTAAAGGTCCACTGAAATCAACTCCCTGCAAAGCTGAAAACAACCCAGAGCACTGCAAAACTGGGAAGGAACAGGGGTGGTGGAAATCTGGAGCAGAATGATTATGGCATTTGCTTTGGCACAAGTGATGCTCTGCAGCATGGAGGATCCTCACCTGTGTGCACTGGCATGTGTAAGAGCTGCAGACAATGCTAAGCTGCTCGCACTGTGGTGCAGACAGATTTCCTGCTCTAAGCTAGGGCTTGGGTAAACACTCTGCCATTCCCCATCAACAAAGAGGCACAAAACTGGGGGCCTTTTTTTTTTTTTTTTTTTTCTCCAACAGACCACCAAGCAATTCTTAGCTCAGCTTTAAATCCCCTGGGCAACCAGTGTTACCTTGTTTGTAGTTCTAATTAAATTATATGGGCTGAACGCAATTTGTTCTGGGTTCTCTCAGCTTCCCCTTGCAATAAACTGTTGAATGCACACCTCTGTGTATGGGAAATGTGTGCCTTTAAGAGCTGAAGTTATTTAACAGCTCAGACTATTAGTTCACAGGCAGAAAAGTATTTTCTTTCCAGGTTCTGATTTTATTGGGCTGTCCTGCATATACCTGAGCTCAGCCTTGCCACTGACTCACACACATATATACACACACACGCGTGCGTGCTCAGATTTAAGGAAGACATGAGCCAGTTATATCTGTGCTGGCTCCACAGATGTTACACGTTGCCTGGACAGAAGTGAGAGGCCATCGCAAGGCTGAAGTGATGAGAAAATCCTGACCTGACACTTGCGCATGTGTGCGTGTGCATACAGAATAGTGGTGGTGTGAGTGTGACGGCTGTGTGGGGTGAAGATATACAGCACATCTATTCAAACCCACTAACTGCCGATTGCTCGCTGTCAGGCAGGAGAAACCCAGATTTTAGCTCTGCATATGTGGCTGCCACTTACACAGGCCAGATCTATTCCAACTACAGTCAACGTAGCACGAGTACGGCTGAGATGGCAAGGAGATTTCTGACATCAGCCTGACCTTGTGTGAGTCATTTGACCTCCTTGTGCCTCGGTCCATCTGGCTGGAAATTAGGTAGAAATACATGGCCAGATGTTGTATGTGAGCCAGGCATTCCTAAGTCAGCTATTTAGAAAGAAGTAAATGCTACCTCGTGCTGTCAGGGCTGGCAGAAGGCACATTAAAGCACTCATGTAGGCACTGAAGGGCTGCCCGAGCCTTTCCTGAGCGCTTTTTGTCCCCTCCTGACTCAAGTACCAACAGGGCTCCACACCTTGCGGGAGGCAGAGCAGCATTTCTTCACGGTGCCAACCCCAAGTCCTAGGAGCTTTGCTGCTGCCTCAGGATCAAACCTTAAGAAAACAAGTAGCAAAGGGTCTCGTTTATATGGCAGCACCCTGCAGAACAGTGATGTCCAAACCCAGCGCTGTGGATATCAAGTGTTCGCTAATTTAGAAGTGAATGCTGGAGGCAGTGTCTTTGCCATTCCTCTTTCTGCAATACTCAACAATATATTCTGAGCCAAGAGCATTCCCTAATTGCTCCCTTTCTAAGTGGACAATCATTAAACTACACATTAATAGCAAGAAATCAACCAAGCAATCACACAGAGCTCACAATAAAGAATATCACTAGATGCCAGTACTCAAGGAACGCGTTCAATTTGCTTCTGTTGTCATCTGAAAGGCTTTCTGCAGCTACATTGCTGACTGATGGCTTCTGTGCCTTTTCCAAGGAACATACGTTACTGAGCAAATACTGCCTGGAAATTTCAACATTGAACCTACACAAATATGCACACATGCACACAAATGTGTGTCCTATTATAGATGCTTACACGCATATTTGCCATCAGAAAGATCTGAGCATCATATGCATACACACACACACACAGAGCAAACTTGAAAACCTTCTTGCAGGCATCTTGTGAATACCAAAAAACGTGGAAAGAAACAGGCAGCTCTACTGCAATCCCCAATGGACCATCTGTTAGCGGAAATGTCAATCTGCCATGTTTACATAGGTTTTGATGACTCTGGGAACAGCCTGTTCAGCTCTGGCTGAAATTGGCTGCAATGAAGAACAAACTTGTTTTGTACCAGTTTGCAACTTTCAACAAACAGAAAAACCCATCAACCACACAACATGGCCTATATCCCACATGTTGTTCAAGCACATTATGTCTGAGAGAAAAAAAAAAAAAAAAAAAAATCCCTCTTGAGACTCAGTCTCTAAGGTTGGGCAGCAGCAATTAACTCTAGGTCTGTTTTCATCACAGGCCTGAAGGTCTTGTGTGCCTCAAAGCTTCTCTGCTTTTTAAGCAGTATCTTTTGGTGTAATATATGATACTATTTCTTTCTACTCAAGGAGGGCTAGTGAACGGCTGAAGGAAGGAAACGTTCTCTTGGTTTTTACAATAGAATAACGAAGACGAGGAGTGTCAGTCTAATACTGATTTAAAGAGGGAAAAAACCCTTTGTCAGTTCACTGCAAACACAAGAATGAAAACTAATAAAAACATCTTCCAATAAAAGGTGTTTCCATTACAGCTAAATCCTTATCAAAGCAAACAAGCCTTTTCATTTTAGCCTTTTCACAGAAACTCTGACTGGTAAAAACGTGCCTAGCTCATGTTACCTTTTCAGTGACAAGTAATGATTTCATGCAAATATGCGAGCTTAGAATGAACATGTAGGAAATGTTGATCTTGAAACCCTCCCTGTTTTATGAGGATGGTTATTTAAACCAGCTTGAAATCTTGCGTGAAACAAGGCTGGGGACATTTCAGATGGGCCCAGCTTTTAAGGGTGTCATAGCAGAGGGAAAGGTTTCATTGTTGAGTGGCACCACAGCAGCTGGTGGGAGTGGGAAAGCTCCATGTCATGCAAACATACAGCTGCACCTCTAAACAAGATACAATACAACACAGACCTCTCCCCCCACAAGGTAAAGGAGAATTACTGCTAGCTGTCAACAGGAGCGCAGCTCTCATCTAAGACTTTTTAGAAAACACCGCGACACTTTTTCCACACAGAAAAATTTCAATACAAAAATGACAAACAACCCGGATAGATTCAAGTTCCCTGATGCATTTCAGCTTTTACTCTCTGAGCCACGGGGATGTTTTGCGGGAAACGCAGTCCCTGCAGGGAGGAGGCCCATGGGGAAGGAGCAGGGCAGCAAGCAAGGGAGGCTCCGGCTCACAAGAAGCACAACGGCAAACATTTCCAAGCCAAAACACTTGGGTTTGGCTTCATTCAATAAAAAGCTTAAGTCTTCCATGGAAAGCAGATGCTTTTTAACATTCTCCCCCACCCCCTAAATCGCTTGGCCCAAAAGCAGCAGTGACAGAGATGTCTGGAGCTGAGCCATTTTATCATCCTCAGTCCATCTGTCAGGGGAAAGAGAGCTGCATCACCACAGCCTGTGTGCTGCAGTGTCATTTATAACGTGGGCTACTGGGGGCATCAGTCTGGGGGTCACTTGGAAGGGAAAGACAGTAAGAGAGGAAAATCACTTGCCAGTGTATTTACAAATCCTTGTGTGTGACCACTGGGAAACACACAGAAAGGAGGGAAAAGGCACCACTAAATGGCCAAGCATTCCCCTGCCTAACAGAGCTGTCGGCTGCGCAAAGGGGCCCCGTGCCGGCAACTCGGCTGTAGCAGCACCTTGCTGTCCTGCAAGCTGGGGCAGGGTGGCCAGGTGGCTCTGTGGGCTGTCAGAGACTGTCCCCCCTTCCACCTTCCTGCGCCCCCAGCATTCCCTGTAACAGCTCAAGAGGAATCATGGCCCTACGTTCAAAGGAACTGGTGATCTTGAAAACAACTGGGGGACTTCTCAAAATACCTGCCCATGATTCTCTGCAGGAGTCAGTTAAATCTCAGCGTCCTTGAAGCCTTCCTGCCCTTGGTCTCACTGTTCTCCAGTCCCTACAAAGTGACATTTACTGACTTACGACTGCTAATGGCATGGAGACCATCCCTTCTTTGTATTTGTACACCTCCTAACAGAACCTCCAATCTCCTTCGAGCTTGGGCTGTCACAAGAATTAAAACCAATAAAGAATGATCCAGGAAATGCTAGGTAATGAGCCAGCATGTGAAAAGCCTGAGAGCCCCGGAGCAGCTGCCACTGCCCCTGCCAACGGCAAGTGCCACCCACCCAACTCAAAGCAAGTTTCTTGAGGACAGAGAGGCAAGCAGGCAACTGGAGGCCACACAGGCCTGGAGCTGCCAGTTCCCTGGTATTACAACTACACAAACCTGCCCAACAGCAGCATCAGACTAAAAGTCTGTCCCTGCCAACACTCTGAGCACTGCAGTGACATGATATGCTGTTAGATAAAAGGAATCCTGAAGGCATTTCTCAGCCCCTTTCTTTATAGACCAAGACTGCAAGTGATAGTACCTGACCTAGAGTACCTTGGGGAGCTTCCCCCTGCCAGACTGGACTACGAATTTTCTCTTTCCTGTGGCTCTACCACACTCCTTGTCATGGGTTTTCACAGCCTCAACCACACACAGCATGAGAAAATAAACCAGAAGGCAACAAAGGCAGCTGGTCGCTCTAGGGTACAGAGCTCCTGGCCACATTCAGGCAGGATCCGGGGGGGTTTGGCAGCCTAGCTGACATGGCTGCTGGAAGAAGCTCTTTACAGTGTACAAGACAACCCAGGGAACACTACAATCCACTCTTGGGCCTTTGCTTGTAGCGTTTTGTCTACAAGCAGGGAGATGCACATACCTCTAGCTGCACCTTGCTCTGATTTACAACTGTTGTGGGGACCTCTGGCCGTACCCGTGAAACCTCCCCAACTCCCTGCCCACCCAGGCAGGTGAAATCACATCGCCATCCGGACATGGGGCCTCTTGGCAACCGCAGTATGAAGATGTTTTTGGCCTGAGTCTTTTCACCTTTGCATATACACGTCAGAGTATGGGGAGAATGCAGCCGTGCTCAGGACTGGCTCAAGGTGGCACTTCCAGCAGGAACTGGGCAGTGGAGGGAGCGGGGCCTCCTACATGGGAACACATCTCCCTCCAGTGCCCACTCCCAGCAACAACAGCCTGTTGCTCCTGACCACCATTCGAGTTCTTCACCTTCCAGGTCATCCTCACCAGTCAGCACGGGTGACAGCACTGCTCTCCTGGTGGCTTCGTGCAGCTGCTCCTCAGCAATCCTTGTTTCCCTATTCACATTCATCAAAAACCCAAATTCTTTATTCTGCTGGCAAAACTCCTTGGTGAATTTAACCCTTGGTGTCCCTTACCCATCCAGTTATGAGGACAGAGACACTACAGCCAGAACTGCCCCCCCCGAGCTCTGATCTCTGAACGTAACTGCACTGCTTGGGCACTGCCAGCCTCTGCGACAGATGCTGGGGGCCCCAAAATCTCAGGCTCAGCTCTGAGCAGCCAGGCCTTGGCACTGTCCTCTCCAGCCCCTGCTCTGCACACAGGAAAATCTTAGTGCAAAGCTTTGCAGACAGGATCGCTGCTTTGGAAGAGAGATCTGGATATGCTGCCCCCAGAAGAGGCCTCCCAAGGGAGGGAGCTTCCCCCTACCCCGACCTGTTCTCAGGGTAAGTCACCATCACTGAAAACATTTGTTCCTTATTTAACAGAAAGAGCTGTAGGAAATTCCTCACACTCTTCGGCTTGGGTCCAGCCAGGCAACCACATTCCACCGAAATCCATAGATGCGGCTTGGCCACAAGCTGCCTCTCCTTCAGCTGAGCACTGATCTGCCACTGCGCTTGGGGAAGGCCAATAGCACAGCTTCAGCTCACAGGACTATTAAAACCAGGAGAAGACGCTGTGTTTCCACCCCTGCACTGCCACTAGCAGCAAGGATGGATCTCGTGGTTAGCCTGGTACCTGAAGTCACCTTCCCTCCAGTGACACACCAGAGCATCGTTGATGCAAACGTGAAATCCCATGCGCTCACAATGCATTTGTTTTACTGAACCTCCTAATTACTTTACATGCTCTCCCTGGGCTACAAAGAGAGACATAAACAGATTAACTAAATTAGGCCAATTAAAGGTTCCCTAATGGAATGAAATGTTTCAGGCAAGCTTGAGAGAGGAAATGGGCAGAGAGGAATGAAAGACAATGCAATGTCAGGCAAACCGAACAGGGCAGGAAAAGACTACTTCAAAAAATGTTCGAAATAAAACACAATTTCACCTCTTGTGTATCTTCAAAGGTATTCCAGTGAACATACTATTTATGGACAAAGCTCCTTTTACTCTAAGCAAAAGAATATCCTGGAAGGCAGAGCATCTGTTCTAGACATCACACTTCCTCACACCATCTATATGCCACAGCAACGGGAAGAGCGCGGCTTCCTGCAGCAGTTTGGTAGCTGCTTCCTGGGGATGAGGGGTCACTGTGCCAGGGGATGGAAAGGGCTGGTAGATGGCACAGGGATCCCAAACTTCCATCTAACAGCCAAGACTGAGCCAGTCAGTGTTACAGAGAAGGGAATGCAGGGCTGCTCAGTACCAGCCTGCAGTCAAGATTACCAGCGCTTTGCAGAGCCAGGACAGGATCAGACCCTGGCTTCCCAGCCGTGCAACTGTCATGTCCCTCTCAGATGAGGGAGACAAGTGACTCAGATTCGTAAATCCCCAATGGAGTGGACAATGGTGAGACAAGTCTCAAAGTCCACACATTTATTAACTTCCCACTATGTACTAACTGGATACACGATAATTGGCTAAGGATATAACAAGTTGTGGCAATACAGTGTGCCTTGCATTACTTAATGGTAGTGAAGGAAAACAGGAAAAAGGAAATGAGGGAGATGGAGAGAATAGAGAAATAGAGATCACTGGTCTGGGTTCCAGAGTTGATCCCACCAGCAAAGGTTCAAGGAGGCATCTGTCTTCTTTGCTCCACTTCATTCTCTGTGCGGCCCCCTCCCTTGCCCCCCTTCGATTTATACACACCTTCTTTGGGTCCATCCCCTACGTCAACTCAAATACCTACATATCTCATGTACGGGGAGCAGTAAGTGTTTCATGAGATGATGTAATTAGCATCATCCTACTAGTCTTTGTTAACATATTCAGGGATGTTAACTTTAATATGCATTTGTGGATAATGAAGCAAAGGTCATTCACTGGACAGATGGCCCTTGAAGTCTGACCAGGTGCACCAGAGCAGAACCATCCTGCCTCCACAGGGCCCGCCCCCCTCCAGCTGCACCCTGTGTTACTGGGGCAGCCTTATCAGCTTCGGCCTCCACACTATCCACTCCATGACTATAGTTACATTTCTCGCAAGTGTTTGAGACATTCCTTAGCTCAGAGGGTCTCCACTTCCCCTGCTATCCTTGCTCTTTCTCAGGCTGTTTTTCTCAGCCTTTGTTTCTCACAGGTCTGTTTCTTTCAGGACCTGTTTTTACAAGTCGTTGCTCACAGACACAGCAAACAAAGGCTCTTGCCTAGGGTGGGAGACCAGTCACCACGTGCATGGGTCCTTACCTTCTTCTTCCCATGGACGACATCCTCAGGGAGGCTTGTGTGGATGAGGCTGTGCACTTCTGTCAGTTCCATGATGTCCCCCAGAGGCATGGATGCATCCTCAGGGAGCGGGGACATGAGGGACTCCAGCTCATGCGAGTCCAAGGTGGCACTGGGAGCTGCCACCCCTTGCCTGCTCCGGTGGTAGTAAGTGTGGTTGCCAGCTGCCTGGGAATCCAGGCCTGGCAGGGCCTCCCTGAGGGAAAACAAGTTCGAGTTGACATCTCTCATGACCCTCATTTTCCTCTGTCCCAAACAGCCACAGACTGACATAGCGATCCCCTTTGGGCCACTCAGCCTGTCCCTGTGGAAGTGACCAGGCCCAAGTCCCTTCCCTGACACTCCCAAGGAAGGAGATCCTCTATCCACATCCTACTGTAACACCTTTCGCTGCAGATGCATCTCCACCACCTTCACTACTCCTAAAGCTCATACAAAGCATGGTGCTGGATACAAAGCCCTCCCCTCACCAGTGGATCACAAGGGCAGCAGACAACACAAGTTCCACCACCAGAGCAAGTGCCTGTGGGGAGCTGTGTCACCCCTGTCATCTCTGCTTTACACAGAACAGTTGCAACATGACAGAGGTGGCCACATTAGGACGAGACTTCAGAAATTGCTTGTTCCTAGTCCTGAGATCCGCTGCCAATAACTAAGCTGGTTTCCAGTCATGGTCTTTCCAAACACTTGTGGCTGGATTCAGCCCCTGGGATACCAAGGGCCTTTGAGCTGAGGCTAGTCCTCCTTAAACCAGCCCGTCACTCACTGGGAAGTCTTTCATCATTTTCCCAACTGGAAGTTGACAAACATCCTTAGAGCTGTCCAACCACAGAAGCAAAATACTGCCCACAGTAACAGATACAGGTAATAATATGACAAATAGTGGTTTTTCCCTTTTCTCCTTTTTTTCTTTCTCTGAAAAAAGAACTATTAGTCTAACAATGCAAATTAAAGAGAAACTACTGACGAAAGTGGTAAGATTACACTAAGTATGTTCCTTAGCCCGCTAGCACTCCCAAGACTCAGTCTTTCTATTAACTGGCACCATACACCATGCCCTGAACAGCCCAGCTGAACACGCGGGAGCAGCTCAGAGTGTATTTTGCCTCCTTCCACGTCAGCCACCTCCACCTCCTGCGAGGGCAAGGGGACACCTACCTCTGCTTGCTGTTGCGGAAGCTGGCACACATGCAGAAGAGAATGCAGAGCAGCCCCAGGCAGACTCCCACAATGATTCCCGTGACAGAGTGGATATCCAGAACATCTAGTAGGGGAAGGACAGGTACATCATTTCAGATGCTAGCAGGAAGAAGGTACAAAGTGCTTTATGTTTAGAGAAGCACCAGCTTCACTAAAACCAATAGGTGATGCCTCTATACACATAAAGGAAGAAGATTACTTAGCAGTGACAATTTAGAGCAGCTTAAAGCAAACTGACATATATGTACACAGTCCTAGCAGAAAGGCAGCAAGTTGCAGGTGGCGTGTGCCCTTCCACAGGAGCTGGGATGGGGAAGAGGGATGAAATTCAGCTCTGAGATGGGTTCTGGGGCTGCCTGAGGCCTGTGGAGCTGCACAGCTGAGGACTCTGCCATGATCCTCTACATGCTGTCATATCTCACTCCCTGTGTGGTGTCATCAGGCAATTGCTTGGCAAACAGAAATGCTGCTGCTGACAAATCAGAGTCTTCAGCAACGCAACTCACTTCCTGCACCGAGACAAAGGGGAAATTCATACCAGACAACTTCTCCCGGAGGGTGTGCACGTCCTTAACGTTTGAATAGGGACCAGATCCCACCACCGTCTTTGCTCCCATCTTGAAGAAGTACCTGGTATCACTTTCCAGGCCATGCACTTCAGTGCTGAAGATATTTCCTGAAAAAAAGCAAGTCAAAAGGTTTAAAATGTGCAGTTTCAAAAGTATTCAGAGGCTGCAGAAAAGCAGCAGAGGAATTCTGCTGGACCATCAGAAGTGACAGATTTTGTGTCTAAGAAGCTCTAAGAAGTAATTCATACACCTCTTCAGGATTAATGAACTTGCTGCTTAAAGAGCTGATGATACAGACGGCGTGTGGTGTTGCTGGTATACGTTCTCGGAGGAATTATTGTCTGCCAGCCTGTGTCTGCGGGATGTTTGCTGGATGACAATGGGTACTTGCAGCCCTAGACATGTATTACTGCATCTCTCAGTAGTTGTGTCCCTGGACTCTCCTACACAACCAGGAGCAGGGCCCAGCATATGCTCCAAGAAAGCTGGCAGCATGAGCTCCTGAATGTTTATTTGTATGTGCTCAAAGGAAGGCAAAAATCATAGCAGCAGGACTGACCAACCAGGGCTCCGTAGGCAGGGAAGGCGGCAGGAGGAGAACCCAGTGGGGTGTTACAGTACCTCGAGGAGACTCACCTTCTCGTGTCAGCAAGGTCCACATGTCATCTGGCTGCGTGTTGTTGGCATTGTACAGGATGAGGTACTCCACAATGATGCCATTGGGCTCAACAGGGGGGCACCAGTGCACCTGGACAGCATAAGGGTTGAGCGGGTGCAGCCGCAGGTCAGATGGAGGAGTAGAGGGACCTGGAAGAGACAAGTAAAGACCCAGCATGAAGAGCAGAAAAGAGGAGGAGAGCATTCAACCTGCAGGGCATAACAACTGCTCTGTGCCTTCTCTGAATCCTTCTCAGTGCTGCCACAATCATGTTTGCAAGCATAAAATGCTGAGTGACCTGGGAGGCCGGACATCTCCTCCAACCAAGCTGTGGAGCTTGCAGAGAGGAGGCTGCTGAGCCCAGTACAGGGCAAGACTTGCACATCGTGGCCAGTCAGCCAAGGGAAGTGTGACAGTGCTGATGAAGCCATGCAACTCGGTTTGAGACAGTGCAATGTTGGTCATATTTGAAAGAACTTTCCTAGCACACACCTGCTCCTTGTTGCTTTCTTCTCCATCTTCCCCAAAGCCCTGCTTGAGCTGCAACTAGTCCCAGCTAGGGGCAGGATACACAGCACCTCCAAAGCCCATCACTGCTGCACTGTGAAGCTGAATAGCAGAGCTCTCCCTGGTGAGCAGGGTTTCTCTGAACCCAGAGGTAATCCCCCAGTAACAACAACTGTTGCCCTAATTCTCTTTACATGCTCGTTTCTGTTTACAAAGCAGCACTCCTTCAATGGGCTTGGGAAAGCCACCAGGAGGTTTAGCAGCTCTCAGCCTTTTATGCACTCAGGGACACCAGAGCCTGCAGGTGATCTGAGATCACATTTCTCAGGGGCACATTAGGAGGGATTTGACAGAGTTTCAGGGAAAGCCAGGAGAAATCAGCATTCAATTCCTATAAATACTTACGGTCAGGAAGGGTGAACCGTTCCACCACACTGCCGAAGGGCCCATCGATGCCAACACCATTGGACTGCACAGCAAACTCATACCTGGTGTAGGGCTTCAACCCACTAATGAGAATGTCTTCATCCGAGCTGCCAAAAGAGGACACATTCCCAAGGCTGTGAACACTACATAATTCTCCCACCCACTGCCACTTTTGTACCTTACCAGGAGCACTGTAAGAGATTATCCTAACTCCTATAGTATTTGATTTTTCACCTAAAGCTTCAACTCCTGCAGTCATGTGAATGCAAGAGCACTCAGCTCTCAGATACAAAGTAGGTTCTCAGCCTCTAGGATCATTTCTGATGTACTTGCAGAGGAAAGCTTGAAAACACAACCTGGTTATAGGCTGAAAACCTCCACACAAATCCAGATTTAAAATGCATCCCCAAATTATTATAATCGCTTAAACTCTAGCAATTTTTAAACCAAACTTGTGAGGACCATCTCACAAATCACGAATGCTTTGAGACTGGCCATAACTGCACCTGGCTGTGTTAATAACAGGGAAACAAGCATGTAAGGTCCAACCAGAGCAGAAAAGATGTAATGACCAGCCAGTAAATGATCCCTTGGTATTCAAGTCATAGACAAGTGCCAGTGCCACATTTCAGCAGTTCTCAATGTATCTGTGACCAAGGCAGACTTTTCCAGCATGTGAAACACCCAGGATTTTGCTCAGTACTGGAGCTTCCCTGCAAGTTCCTCCTGCCCTGTGTTTATTCCTGACATGAGCAATACTTGGCAGATGAACCCTTAGCATCCCTCTTTACCTTGTGTAGTATGTAACAAGAGAGGCGTTTTTCAGGCCCCAGGGGCTGAAGCGCACAGTGTAGTTGACAATTTTGACAGTTGTGAAGTCAGGTTTCTTCCACCTGAGCCATATGGAAGTTGAGCTGTTAGATTCTGCATAGACTTGGACTGGAGGCAGAGGAGGACCCTTCTGCACAGGGGGATCTATGGTGCAAGACAAAAAGAGATGTGGAGATGTACATGACAGTAAGGCAAGGGACAACAATTATGGACAAAGAAAACATGGAATAAAATAGGCCTAGGTTGTGAAGGCTGCACTGATATGCTGGCCTCCAGTGTAAGCCTAGATGCCTGGCTTAGCCCCTTTGTGCATGCAGCAGGCCACGCTTTTCCTCCTGTGTAGAAAAGATCACAGTGAGGATCCATGCACCAAGGTGGTGGTGTGAAGCACGGGAGACCAGTTTCAGAGCTACCCAGCCGCCAGGCCCATGCCAGGGTAAGGAGCAGCCCAGACTCTTCACCACCCCACACCAGAACGGCAGAGCTGAGAACAGAGCCCAGGGCTTCAGAGCTTTTACCTTCTTTATAACACTGCAAAAAGCCTGGCATGCTGCTAATTCACGTTCTTGAATCTTTGTAAGAGATAAAATCCAGGTTATTTGGCATTTCCAAGACCGTCATGGGGCCAGAGAGGACAGGGTGAAGGCCACCCACACCCAGTGTAAGAACAACCCTAATAAGAAGAGGGATATTTTTCTCCTTTCTCTCCTTCCCAATGCAATTTGAAATGACTGCCAATGGAAGTTTCCTTATACTGAGACTTTCCCAATTTTTGTATTGTCCTTCTTCAAGTTCACCGTCTGTAATTTTACCTTTATCCTTCCTTTGAAGCCACATGCCAAGCAGAAGAGACAGACAACAAATGAAGGGCATTCCTCACCTACTGCTGTTGCAGGGGCCTTTTCTGTTTTGCCCTTCCAAACCGCTGCATAACCATCTTCGTGTTTATTGAATGCCACCAGCTTCACCTCATAGAGTTTCCCAGGAGCTGGAAAAATCAATCGGGGTTTGTCTGGGGTTATTTTTGTTACCAACCCTCCCCAGTTAGACATGTTTTCTTTGATCTCACCATCTGAGAAAGCAGTTTGAACAGAGTTGTATTTCCTAAAAATAGAGCAGAGAGTCCCCCATCCACTTATAGGCTTTTCACACTCAAATACTGTCTCACAACTGCTGCACGTATGATCACTACTCTCTAGTTCTCCCCTCACTTTTTACAGAAACTAGCAGCAGCAAATGGACTCGTCCCAGCCACCAAGTGTTAACCAGTGTCATGTCCTGCAGCACATCATCTCAGGATCTTCTGATTTTTCTCCCTTGCAAACTACTGAAGACACCTATGCATGGTGACTCCTCTTCCTCCCCCATGGAAGTAGATGCACTGCACTGTTTATTCCTGAGCGAGGACATCCTCTCCTCTTCACAATGCACTTCCCATTTCCAAAGTCCTTTCTGATTTATTCACTGCTGTGCAGATAATTCTTCCAGCAAGTCCTCACGTGCCCTGTTAAGTCAGTGGCAGCTTTTGTTCTATGGTGACTATTTTGCCTCCACAGCAGAGTTTCTTGACTTGCAATTTGAAAAGCAACAGCTCATTCAAAACCCACACCAGAAATCCGAGGGTCCTCATCACACATTCTTCCCATCAGACAGCCATGCACTCTATGGGGAACCTCACGCTTGGACCCGACTGAGCTGCAGGACAGGGCGCTCTGTCTCCAAGTGGTGCTGCATTCATCCAAAATTCACTTCCCTCTTTCCTGCAGCCTTTCATCAGCTGAAATACTCCTCGGTTGTGCTAAGTAACATCTAAGGCTTTTTTAATGGAGATGTTTAATCAAGGAAACAACTTGGGAGATATGAAGTTCTCAAATAACACTCGCCAGCTTCTCTCTTAACCAGTCAGCCCATTCAGGAGCTCAGCAAGAGCAGTCCAGACTGTCTTTGGTTGCCTTGGCTGCAGCACATTGATGAATTTTGTTAATTTGGGACGTGCTTGTTCATTCCCTGCCCTGATAGATCACCGCTCTCTTTGCCAGACAACGTAAGCAGAATAAAACCTTTCTTATTGATGCCAATTTTATTATTACTGCACTGATTACACTCCCAGAGGCTAATGGTACCAATTACCAAAGGCTTTCTCTGCTCCACAACACATGTTCGCGCTCAGAATATAAAAACAGTTCAGCCACATTTTTCTCCCCAAAAGAATCCCAAAAGCAAACAGTTCTGTCTGCCTCCAAGGCAGCCTGATCTGCATTTCCACACTCTCGGGCCACAGGAAAACATTTCAAAACCACACAAGGGGGATGAGACCAAAGGGCACTCAACTGCCAAACAGCCGGGACCAGGGGCTTGGAACAAAGAAGCCCCCAGTCCGTCTCTCGCCAGCACACACACTCCATCTCCTGCCTGAGCATTTGGCTGGGCTTCACTGGGACACAAGCACATTGTGCATGATGTGATCCAAAATGATGAGGAAGAGCTCACAGATGTGCTACAGCTGTGGGCAGCTCCTGTTGGAGAATGAAGTGAAGGAAAGGACAAGTCCTCCATCTTCATCTCCAGGTAGGACCAATACAGCAGCCACTTACACGTGAAGCCAGGGGAGCTCCACTACAAGATCAAGCAATTCACATGCTGAAAATAGGTATATTTTGGATTTCTCAGTGAGAGGCTTGGCTTCAATTTTTATACACAGGCCCAGATGTTTAAGCTCTTAGAACATGTAGACATAAAGCTCTATCAAGCTGTCAAGAAGCTAGTAGGCAGCATGAAAACAGATGTATTTCACTGCATTCCACCATATATTAAATATAAGCAGAATAATCTAGTCCAGATCATTTCAAATCACTAATCTGGATGACTGCATAATATATCCAATATGCTAAATATGTCGTTTCATTCATTTTTTCAAGGTGTTCATGTTGGGCAGATGCCATATGCCATACTTTCCTGTAAGTGGGAAAATACCCTGATCTCCAGGGAGTCACTCCCAGAGGAATGCACTCTTCCTTCATGGGAATGTGGAAGGCAGGATCAGATCTTTACCATTTATTTTTCCTGTAAATTATGGCCCTGGTAGTTGCATACCATTACATAGACTAACTGCTAGAACACAGATGGAAATCAACAAGACTTTTTCAGGGAAAAGCCCTCCTGGTGATACAGGACAGCTTCCTTTTGATTTTGTGGGATCATGAAATTGCTGTATTTCTTACGTGTCTTTGAACAGCTGCTCACCTCTCTCACAGGATTTCAGCACATACCTCTCAGACAAGATACAAGGTGTGTTATTAGAGATACCACTCTAAGGAGACATGGCTTGCTCCAGAGGTTATCATGAGCATGGGAGAAAAGTCTTCTCTTATTTCAGACAGCTTAAATGGAGAGAGCTGTGTCATTACCAAAGGCAAAATCAAGCAGCCAGATGTTGGGGGTAAGGCAAAAGATGAGCAAGTCTTTAGGACAGAGAAGTGCTGGTGGACAAAGCTGATGCCATTTCAGTAGCAGGACCAGCCAGTGCAAAAGAAAACAAGAAACTTGCACTGGACCAGCACAAGAAACCTTACTGCCAGCCTAAAGTTACAGGAAACTAGGGAAGGGAAATGCAGGCAGGGCTCTTTGCTGGTGTAAAAGTTGTGCTATCGCTGTGAACAAAAAGTAACCATGCTCAAGAAGCTCTGTCCAAAGCTGCTTTCCGCACACCCATCCACCTCTGTCTGAGGCATGCCTCAAAAGGAGCTGTCTCCCCAGAAAGTGCTTCCCCTCTTGCCCTGCTGAGCTCCTGGAAAAAAACAAGGAAAATCAGGAAATCAAACTCGAGCTATGCAGGAACAAGCAGTGGGACAATAGTTTTATCTCTCAGGCCGCAGCCCAAGCCAAGGGGCAGAGCACTGGCTCCAGTGGCACTGCAGAGATGTGGAGCTGAAGGGTGTTTAGTGACCGTGTTGCAGCAGTATGTAGCCTCCAACGGGGAAATTGGACCTTCTTTGAACAGACATGGTATGCAACGACATCTGAGCTGCAGCCTTGTCTGTGTCTAACCCTGGGACTTCCCGACACCATTTCAAGCACTGGAACAGGCTTCCTAGGGAGACAGTCGATGACCCAAGCCTGTCAGTATTTAAGAGGCATTTGGACAAGGCCCTTAAGAATTTGCTTTAACTTTTGGTCAGCCCTGAACTGGTCAGGTAGTTGGACTAGATGATCATTGTAGGTCCCTTCCAACTGAAATATTCTTTTTCATATAAACAAAGAATGTTCCGTTCCATTCCGTTCCGTTCCGTTCCATTCCATTCCTTTCTAATTCTTATCCTATCCTAATTAATTCTTATCCCATCCTAATTAATTCTTATCCCATCCTAATTAATTCTTATCCCATCCTAATTAATTCTTATCCCATCCCATCCCATCCTATCCCTTGACCAGTCTGTAGTATCAGCTGTGACACCTCTTCAACAGCCCACCTCCTATGGGCCAGCCTGGGTAAATCTCACTCTCCCATCAGACAGCACCATTCACCACACGAAGCTCCCTCATCCTGACATCAAGAGATGGTCCCAAGAGACAGTGTTTCTGTTCAGGCCTCTTGTTTGCTTGGTTTTATAGAGGGATTTTAGGAGACATTTCGACTGCTGTGCTTCCCAGGCAGACATCCATAAGCTGGGAAATCCCCCCAGGCGATTCCCCATCAGCCAGTGTGCAGCAGCACAGGTCATGTTAGGGTTGACAACCTCTCCTGAGGCTGCTACCCACTCTGTCTATAAGACCCCTAATGCAGATGTAAATACCTGCACAGGGTAGCTCCCCGCCATAAAACTAAACCCTTCTAAATCCCAACCACACCTCCTCCTTGTTTCATGTTCAGACCCCCTGCTCTCCTCAGCACAGCCAGATTCCTGACCCTGTCCTTTACTGTACACATGCAAGAGCACGTCATTCAACAGTGCAAGGGGGAGAAAAGAGAACATCCACGACTAGAAGAAACCCGAGCCTCTCTTCCTGACACAAGGATAGCCGATACATGACCGCCAAATCATAAGGAAATCATTAGGGCTTGACGGATGCCCAAATTTAAGGAAGTAATTACAGAAGAACAAGCAGCCTTCTCAGCATCATCATGCCAGAGCATTTGGAATCAATTCAGCCCACTCCCGGGTCCCTCTGCTAACTGACTTGCCAGCGGTTAGAGCTGCGCATGATGATGTTCACATGTGGTTTCCTCAGTGCAATAATTACAGACCTAAATTCTTCAGAGAAACTCATAACTGTTAACACCCTCTCAGTGGCAGGATGGCTGCAACATAGCTGGAAACCTACTTCATGATGATACAAACTGTCTTTCCAGGTGCTGCAGCCTGGTTTTTACACCACATATAATATACATGCCAGACATGCACGATGAACCAGCACAAGAAACACTCGCCCTGCAGTCTCAGCTCACTGGGCAGTAACAGGGATGAAGCATGAAGTGAGGGATGGAACAACTCTAAGAATCAGAATCCTGTTTCAAGGATGCATCTGCCATGACTCTTTTCTTTCTCACCATCCTGTATCAATGGGCAAATCAACTAAGTGGTATGATCAGATATTAGAAATGTAACTCCTTATGGGAAATGCCAAGCACAGTTAGCCAGGGAGGCACATCTGACTGTGATGCAGACTTGTTCTCCAGCCATGGACACTCAACTCTTCTACCCTTTTCCCTTAGTGGGAGGTGGAGAAAACTGACCCCAAATTAGCATGCTGTGAATTATCTCATCTCTGCATTTTAATACAGAGAAATTTCAAATAGCATGCAATTATGGAGTTTCTTAGAAATAAACAGGGAAGGAGAGATCATTGTCATGACTGGAGATTTTCATCTAGGCACTCTTTATAGTGACACATAAAAACCACTAATTGATTCAGATCCACTTATTAGCGTATTCTAAGTATATTATTAGCCCTTGGTTAAAAAAATACAATCCCTGCTACACCGGCATCAGAAATTCCTCTGTTTTAAACTCTGCTTAATACAAAACCCAAGAGCCCCACTCCAGAAATTATTTTGGGTGCTCTTAAAAATAGCTCACAGGGCCCTGGTCCTGTGTATCTGCAGCCAAGCAGATAACGGAGCCTCCTGGAAGCACCCAGGACTGCTACAAAGTGCAGGAGACAGATCCTGGGTTTCCACACCAACTTCTAAGAAGATGTAAACAGCTAACCTAGTCGAGTCAGCTCATACTGCTTCACTTTCTTCTTTAGTTTTATGGGTCCTACGTCCCAGCTCTCATCTTCAGCACCATCCAAAGGATTTTCATCGCTGGACTCCTCTGGGCCCACTTCTCGGTAGTAGAGCTTGTACCCAGATATCTGGGCATGGTTGGCTGGGGGCTGCCACGTTATCAGGAGAGACTCCATCTTTGCTCGGACTTTTAATTCTGTTGGGGCAAATGGAACTAGAAGAACAAGACAAGAGAAAAATGTTCAGCCACTTGTCTCAATTTCCCTGCTCTACTGAATCCTCCCAGTCCTCGGTAGTGAGGGAGGGGTGTGAGGAAAGGCTGTCCCATGAGTGGGATGTCTCCACTGTCTGACAGTGGAGAATGGTACAGTTATGCTCTACTGTTGACTTTATCAGCTGGGTAATACAGGAAAGAACAATGCCACTAAGTCACTATGGGAGTTTCTCAACGTATTCTGAGATATATTCAATATATTTTGAGTCTCCAATCACTGCCAGAGTCTGGCTTGGGCTCAGCTCTGTCTGGCAGAATTGTCTATTCACTCCCAAATATCGTAACATGGGAGTTCAGGGGGTTTGTCTCTTTCTTTCTTTCTAAGAATTTTCACAGCTGCACATGGAGGGAGAAAAGACCCACTACCTAGGCAAGCAGCAAGATATAGAGAGGCTGCTGAACAGAAAGATAAAGGTGGGTACTTTGATCTAACCAAAACCAATGGTTATAATTCCCTAATGAAAGCAAGTACCACTGATTATGCCTCACGTTCCCCAGTGTCCTGCACACCCTGCCCCAATCCAGGCATTACTCAGCCTCCTACCATGCGTCTGGTTGTCTCTGTCAGGAGTCCGATGCTGTGTCCACTCAGAAGGGGCCCCATAGCCCATGCTGGTGCTGGCCGCAATGCGAACTTTGTACACTTTGTTGGGATGGAGCGAGTAGAGAGTGATTTGTGTCTCATTTCCACCCACTTCAATGGAGGTAACCTGATCTGCTGAAACCAAGATGACACCACTGAAAACATGGGTTTCCTAGTCAAAGGGAAATAGAGCTGAGCAGCCACAAAGCCTGGATACCCCCCACTGGTCTGCAAACCCTGGGCTGGCTTGGCTTTGCCCAGGGCAACCTCATGACACCAGGAAAAAACAGAATTAAACACTGGGCAGAGCTGATACCCAGACTGACAACCCCCTTTATCACATTCAGAACTGCAGGCTGCCTTCAGCACCACTGAGCCTGCCTGCAGGGAGCTGTCAGAAACCTTGCTGCTGCTGACGTGATGGCAGAACATGATGGTATGTTCCAGTAATTCTCATTGCTGTATTTAAATCCTCATCTTAATTTGAACCAGAACTGTCCAGCAGCCATGCTTTCTGCAAAATTCACACCTTCACCCACACTAGATTGAGGTTTTATCGTTCCCTCTTCAGCCCACCCAAGTTCGTAAGGGAGATAGCAGGAAATTTATGCTGAGAATGGCCTGGGATTTTCACTGTAACAACTAATTGGACTTGCTGGAGATTCATATTGCCTGTTTGGTGAATGCAGAGGTCTTGCTTTTCAGCTTCACATGGTGTAAGCTCAGCTGGGAGCATTGTCCCTGCTATGTAACAGCATACTGCTGAGTGTGATCCCTGGACTGCAAATGTTTCCAAGGTTTTACGATGCCACAGAGCCACATGCAGGCTCAGGGCAAAGAAACAAGAGCCAGGAGTCACAGCGCAGACTACTAATCCAGATCAAACACACGGGAACATGTCCAGCACTTCATCACATTCCCTGTCCTTCTCTTAGCAAGAATCATGACCCTGGGAAGTGAGAAGCTGCAGAGCTTTGATGGTTTTAAGAGCAAATACCCAGAAGGATTTGCAAAGCAAGCACATGTGGAATTGGAACAGCCGCATCCAGCATAGGTAAACATTACCATCCCTGCTGATGGCTTCTCAGAGTGTCTGACAATATAAATAAAACTGGATCAAACTCAACAACAGAGCAACACAGTCTGGCCAGGATACTTGCTTTTTTTTATTCCCAGAAGGATCACTTTGATTAGGCTCCATTTTAAGGGAGTGAAATGCCTTTATCCTTCTTCCCCAACCAGCATAAATCTCTTCCTCTAAAACACTGATGGTACCAAAGGGTTGCTCATACAGACATTCATGGGGCAGCACAAACATGCAAGCATCAGGCCATTCCCATGGGGACACTGGCTCCTCCACAATCACAGAAAAAGGGACCTCTAAGTAGTGTGAAGTAGCACAGCGCCACACTGCTGTGACCAACAACAGCAGAGCCAGGCTAAGAGAAGGCTGTTCTCCCCCCTCAGGAAAAAAGAGGCCCCCCAGTTTTCAGCCCTGCACTTCCTGCCCTCCACATGACATGCTGTTAACGCTGCTGGAGTAGAAGACAAAAGCCCCCCAAACGGTGTTTCCTTCACCTTCCTTGAGGGTGCAGTAGTCAATCTTGTACTTCGTTATCTTGCCGTTACTCAGTTCTGGAGGAGGCGGCAGCCATGTCACACGGATGTCACCAGGAGTCATACTCGACAGGGACAGCTGAGGGGCAGCACTAGGAACTGGGTAGAAGCAACAAGAAGCAGTCAGTAAAGATGGGGGAAAGACCTCAACACATCTCTGGCAGCTCTGAGTTGGCTGGAGGCCATGACCTGGTCTTGGCCCTGCCACAGCCACCCGTGACACGCTGTCTGTACCGGGGAAGAACCAATATCCCACAGCTCTTTACCAGCTCAGAGCATCAGTGGGGTGTCTGGGGAGGGAGATTATGGGCTGCTCAGTGTCACCAGGCCGATCAGAGCCTGCTGGCCACACCACACTGCTCCCCAGGGACCCTGTGTCCACCGCAAACTGGGCAGGTTAGCACAGAGCAGCTCATCAGCCTACGCTGTACTGTGGAGCGTGAAGGAGATACTAAAGGAAACGGCTCACAGATCCAGACTTCAGTCTGGGAATCCCCATTCCCTTGAGAATCACAGCTCTGTGCTGCAGGCAGCTTTCACACTTTCAACTCAGCTCTTCAGGCTTCAGACACATACACGTGAGACCACGCAGTTCGTTATGTCAGGAGTATTAAAAGCACATCATGCACCCTGCCTTTTGGCGAGGTCTGCCAAAACCATCGCTTCTTGTCTCTGTCCTGCAGTCTGTTGAAAGCTGCACATGTCCTCCCCCGTTGGGCAGCTGTCCTTCTGGCACTCTGCCTTTACTGCTCGCAAAACGCTACGTGATAAATGGTAAAATCAACACAAACTACTGGCTCTTAAGGGATCCAACCTCAAGGCTGCTCCCAACCCTAAAAACTGCAATAGATGTCTGTCTTCAGAGTTGAAATCAAGTCTGGCCCAGAGTTGGTTTGGAGCAATATCACGTTAGCTAGGTGAAAGCCCAAAGGTGCAGTTCCCACAGGATTCTCATGGGCCCCAGTGTCAGTGAGGTTGTTTTCATGCTCTTCATCACCAAAGCTGACGATCAGACCAGGGTGCTTTGGTTTTGGTTGGTTTGCTTTTTGAAAGGGCTTCTGACAAGAAGCTGTAGGAGCAGCAAGTAGGTTTAGGTTTCTAGGAGCTGATACTATTCTCCATAGCATATTCAATGCTTACTATGAAACAGGCCAAGAACACTTTTTAGGCATCAGTACCCATCTAATTCAACTCACCGTCCTCCAGGGTCTGAACAATGATGGAAGAGGATGTCCGGCTGGCTCCGAGCTGAGAATATGCGACCACGTAGAAGACATAGTTGGTATTGGGTTCTAGGTCCTTGACTTGCAGCTCAGTGGTATCATTATTGACAGCAAACTGGTATTCAACATTGTCTGTCCCTAGAGCCAAGGAAACACTGATCAGTAGGTCAGTGAACTGCCAAGACACTCCTCAAAAAATCACTTAACTCACAAGGTCCATAGTGTAAACCCACCTTAAAAATCACTATGTCTTCTCCAATTTCCCCAGCACCTGCACAAAACTCATCTCTTAAATGAATTCTTTGGGCAGAAACATTCAATGCCTTAATGTTAACATCTCCATTTTGACTCAAGCTCCTTAATCCATGCTCAGGCAGCTGCAGTTACCAGCTTAATTTTCAGAGGAGCTCTGGCAACAGTTCAGCAAGAGTATCGGTTTGCTGGCTGTTTGGGAAGACAGACCCCAAGAGATCAGAGTGCTTCACTTCAGATTCTCGATGTGAATAATTTAGTGATTACCCCTGTACACAATGTAGCTGTTTAGTATCTCCATTAATAATCACACCCTTTGCATATAAAAATCAATGTGTTGGAGGAAAAAGTAAAAAACAGAAATAAATTTCCAGAAGTGCCTGGTCCCACTAGAATCCAGACAACTCAACTACATGGACACACTACTGCTGGTCAATGAGTTAGTTATATCAGCTAATCCACAGGCACTGTCACGGACTGATGCTGACTCCAGAAAATTCCTTTACCTGCAATGGAAAGGGCTAAACTAACAAGAATTGCCTCACACTTGTCACTAACTGGGAAAAACAGTCAACCTGTGCCTTGTGCCTGGTACCTGCCACAAGCTGTGCTGCACCAGAGATAACACCTACCCACAGCACGCTGGTAATGCAATGAGAAGCCAATGATCTGCTCGCTGTTGTACTCTGGCCGCTCCCAGGACACAAGGACTGTGGTGCTGGAGAGGGACACAGCTGACACCTTCTTGGGAGCGCTGGGCAAACCCTCCCGCACGATCACCGAGAGCTTGGCAGTAGCACAAGCCATGCCCAGGCTGTTCTCAGCCACACACTGATAGTAGCCAGCATCCTCCAAGCCAATCTGATTGATCACGAGGCTCCCGCTGCTCTGCACCTTCACCCGCCCGTTGGAGAGGATGGCCTCGCCGTTCTTCAGCCAGTGGATGGTTGGGGCTGGCTCTCCCTCTGCCTTGCAGACAAACCGGGCCGTGCTGGCTCGGGTGCGAGAGATGGTTTCAGGAGCCTGGGAGATGCTGGGTGTAGCTGGGAGGAGAGAGGACAAGTTAATGCAGGAAGGAGGAGGAAAAGATAGCAAAGCAAATCCCTTCTCCTCCCCACTCAGTGCTATGTTTAATTCAGTAGCAGCTTTGCTTACAAGATAGGATTTGCCAGTCAGACTCTAGAGGCTTAATTTAGACTCTGTCCAAAAGGAAAAATAAATTCTGTATCAATCATGTGCTGCGTTCCCTGATCCTAGGCTGTTCTCCCTGCTGGCTTCCACGATACTGAAAGTTAATTGGTGATACAGATTTCCATGGGGGAACCCTGGAGAACAAGAATAAGGCATAAAATGGTTCAGTATATACAAGGAACTAAACCCCAAATTAAAGGAGGTGACTCTCCCACTGAGACCCATCCCAACCCAGGGCCTCCTGGCTCTAACCTGGCTTCCTTCTTACCCAGCACAGGCCACAAATGCAACTTCTTGGGGAACTCTTGGATGTTGGTCCAGGTTATCTATAGCTACCTGGAGAATTTATCCCACTCTACTCACCAAGGACCCGGAGCTCAGCTGCGGCTGTAACGAACTGTCTGGTCTGGGGTTTGTTAGCACGGCAGACATACACCCCTGAGTGATGGGGCTGGCTGGAAGGAATGAGGAGATTTGTCCGGCCCAGCACAATCACATCTGTGGAAACGGGCTTTCCATCTGCAGGGAGAAATGTGTGCAAATGTGGGAGGGAGCCCCAAGCTGGACTTTACGAGGGCTTGTAAACAACACATCTACTAGAGCCAGGATCACAGTTGGGGAGTGGAGAGACCCGCACATCCCAAACCCCAGCCCAGAGGAGGATTCCTACTGGGACACTCCTCAGTGCTTGACTGAGCATCAGCCAGCCCAAGCCAACACCGGCCCAAGGTTTAGTTTAGCCTGTAATAACCGAAAAAGTTCTGTTTTGGATCAAAATAGTCTCTGATGCCTAGGGTGTGGCTGCAGTGAGACCCCATAGGAATAGCACGTTCAAGGGAAAGCTATGTTAACACACATTTTGGGAAAACTGCTGGATCTGCCTGCTGACCCCCATGCACGAACACACACCCCTCCTCCTCTCACTCATTAATGCAAATGTCAGCTATAGCACTGAATCACTAACAGCTCGGGGGCTCCTCCCTCCTCTGGGTCCCAGACATGAACCCAAATTTACTGAGCTTCCCAATTCATTCTTTGCCGCCAGCATGGCTCCTGATCTGTAAGGTATCAGGAAGACACCTGGTTCTCCCTGGGGCTCCAGTGCTCGGGTCAGAGACATGGGCTGTGAGCTGCCCTTGCACCATACTCCTGGCTAGATGCTCAGCGCTGCTGAGTAGGGACAGAGGAAAGGGTAGGTCCAGCTCCCAGGTTAGAAGCTGATACATCCTTCTACACCATCAAATAGCCCCAGGCTCCTCAGACCGTCATGGACAGGGCAGCGGGTCGGTGCTGGGCACTGCTTATTCTCAGCACTGCTCTGATGTAAGAAACACAGAGACCAGCGTTGGTACCTCTGAATGAGTGTGGGGGAGCAAAGCCAAGAGCTGGGGACAGAGTATGGACCAAGCACGGTCTGGCCGAGGAAAGGCATGGACAGAAGGTCAGAAACTCATGGCCAGCTCTGGCACACGTTTGTAGACTGGGAGAGCCAGCCAATTTTTGCGCAGTACCTGTGTAACACCAGACCTTGTCCCTCTCCACCTGCAGAAGCACGGATGTCTTTCAGACAGCAAAAACAGCATTAGCCTGCCTTTACCTCCCACAGATTCAGCTGAGCCTGTATCTCCAGACAGAAGCAAGCTCTCCACCTCCACTGTGAGCAGCTGCACCTACTTAGCACCATCAGCAGGGAATGCAGCTGAGATCAGATCCTCTGCCCCCTCCACCCATCCTGGGGGTCTTCAGATGGCCTCACAGTTCAGTGGCTGCATGCTCAGAGGAGGAGAAAATCTGTGCACCCTATTCACACTAGAGAGGCTTGAAAATCTGACTCCAGATGGTAGCAATTAGCTGACACCACCAAGGCTGGCAAGAGCCAAACTGGCAACCTGGAGTTACAATCCTTGGTGTTACCTAGATGACTAATCGTCCAGTAACCCAGCCTGCTCCTTAACAAAGTCTTGGAAAGAAACATGCTTGTGTAACAGAATTGCTAGAGCTGTTAATCCATCTTTTCTAATTGAAGAGTCCACACTGGGAAGCAGAGGGGGACCAAGCAAATACTTTAAAATAAAGCAATGCAAGGAACTGTTTCACCAGCCTTTCCTCCCTTCCCCCTCCTCTTCCCCCCATCCAAAAAACTTTCATAGTGATAATTAACTCTAATAATATCTACTCCACTATGGGTACCAGTAGCTCTCAGTAAAGCAACGATGAATAAATGATCTAGCATGGGAAAGCTGAGTGAAGTGCACCGAGGGAAAGCAATTGTGAAGTGCACAGGATGAACCAGAAACATTTTTGCCAGAACGTTTAATCCTTGCTGATTTGATTTCCAAAGTTGTATCCTCTGAGATTTTTTTTTTTCTCCTTTTTTGTGGGGAAGAGGAAATATTTATATACACTAAAATCACTGTCTGTGGACAAGTCTGGGCTGAAGATCAACCACAATAAATGGTTACAGGGGAGAAGAGTCTTAAATCATGCCCCGGATTTATGAAAATGACTGAGAGCCTTTTCTGGGGGAGAACTCACTCCTGAGCTGGGAATGTCTTCAGTCAGAGCCTCTGAAACTCATCTGATGGATGTGACACACTGTGAAGTGACAGTAGCATCCTACTCATGACTTAGGCTATCAGCCCTGGGTAAAGTATGGCTCATTTGTACACCTCTGATGAGAACTAAGCATCTTCTCAATCATTCCATTACCAATCTGACCACAGTAAGATTTCTGAATAAAAACCTCCCAGCAACACACTCAGCCACTCCAGTCATTAACAGATCTTATTGTGGTTTATAATCCTGTAAAATAATCCAAGGTTTTTTCTCCAATGCAACGACAGATTCCACAGAATCCCCACTAACCTTTGAGTCCCCGGAGGAGTGGCACAGACCAGACCCCACCTCTGCGACCTTCACTGCTGAAGCTCATACAATAAGGATGACTAATTTAGATCAAAAAGCATCCAGGCACTAGAACTTCATATATTTCACAGGTCAAACAACTATAACGTGAACTGCATGCTTTGTAACCTTCTAGATTTAATTAGTAATTCCAGTTTGGCAAGAACACACTACACTGTGACACCACCTGAGTCATTAGGTGCTGATGTAACGAACACTCTTCCTGTCCCACAGATTTTTCTGCTTTTTAATAGATTTGAGAAATAAAGTATCCTCAGGTCCCTCTTGACAACAAAAGCTGAATTCTGTCCCTCATGCTCACCCTGTCGTATCCAGGAGACAAAGGGGGTGGGATCAGCAGCTGCCATGCACTCCATCACCACGCTCTCCCCAGCCACCACCGTGGTGTTCTCTGGCGCAGCAATGATGGTGACATCTCCTCCTGCTGGCTGGGAACCTAATGTCAAAAATAAAAAGAAAAGTCTTGTCCTTCCAAATTGTAAAGTCCCTAGAAAAACACAGAACACAGAGCCCAGACATCTCGGCCATGCTTCCCCACATAGTCTCATGTGTGGTTAAAGCTCATGCCCAGCTGGAGGAGAAAAGCAGGTCTTGCTTTTACATGACCACAGTATTTTTGCTAAAGAAATGAACAAAGGGGTGCCCCGCAGATTTACTCCAATCATCCTGACCCTAGTAAAAATTAATATTGGGATTTTCACATGAAAAATAGTTTCAACCTAGCACCTTCATCGACTATTGCTAAATAGATGTTTGCGAATTAGATGAAACAAGACACTGCTATCCTCAAACAGAGCAACAGCAATACCACACACCCATTGCCAAGGCATTGTAACAGCTCAGAAAGAATCTAGTAACTTGGTTAAAGAAATTCTAACATCCAAATGCTGTACTGTAAAGTGCAACAGAGAGGTCAAGCCTCTGTGTCCAGGCCTTCACCTGATGGCACAAAGACTAAATCAGTCATTACACATCTGGAAGAGATAAAGCTGTTTAGCTTCTACGTGCACAGACAAACAGCCAACATGTAAATCAAAGCAGCGCTTACAGGAAGATCTACAGGCTGCACTGCACAATGTCTTGAGAAGGGGATGGGGATTTTTTTTTTCTTGAAAATGAACTTTCTGCCTGTGTCTGCCCACTGCTGAGCAGAGGTTAAGGGAAGGTTAAGGAAATGCCTTTCCAGTAGCCAAATTTCTGTTGTCAGATAAAAACAACCGGAGCACTCGAGCAAACAAGACTGTTCATGACCCTTGACAGTAGCAACACTGTTCTTCCAGCTCTCCCAAATATGTCTAACTCTGACAGATGCTTTTGTTGTTGTTCTCATGAAAGGAGAAATAACTGCTGAGGAGTCATGTAGCACAAGAAATTCTTAGGCCTGTTCCAGGTGCTCCCAAGATCCAACAGAGGAAGTTGGTGGCAGCACATCTCAAACAAAGAAAAGCAAGAGCTTTTTGCACAGCACACAGTTAAACTCGCTGTCTCAAAATGCTGCAGCATTCAAAACCAAGAGGTTCAGACAAGCTCATGAAGGACACATTTACTGGAAACTGGTAAATACAAAGGTCTCACCGCAGTCCCCAGCCCAAGATGTTCCCACATCCCTGACTACCAGATGCTGAGGGAGATATACAATGAAAGCACCACGTCCTCCTTGCCTGTTTTTTTTTTTACATGCTTTCCTCAAGCATCTTCTGTGGTCACTTTTGGAGATGGCACTGCAATGGCTGGACATCTGGCCTGACCCACACTGGCCATTCATGCGACATCCAAGCAGTACTCTTTCATACATGACTTTCTTGTGAATATAAACCAGAGAAGCTTTGGCCTCAGCACACAGGCCTGCCTGCAGTGGCAGGAGGCTACACGCTGCTGCACTGAATGCGCTGCGCTCTGCCCATCTCCAGGCTCACTGCCATTTGCTCTAGCACAGAAGTCTTGCCAAAGACAGTTGGTTCAACACAAATTTTCTTGCAGTCTATACACGAGTGAAAGGGATTTCCATCCGTAGTATTATGTGAGCACAATTTAAAAGGAGCTAGTAAAATCCCTGCGGCACCAAGGGAAAACGGGAGAGAGCAGGAGCCAGAGCTTGTCCAGCAGATGGAAGCAGAGACCAAGGAGCGCCCATGGTCCCCAACGTGGGTCAACGGCTGGACCACACTAAACTGCAACTCCAGCCCTGGGCAAACACCAGCAGTAAGAGCTGCCACAGGGCACGAAGGAAAAGCTAAGCCAGCCTGTGGAACAAGTACACTACACAGCCTAGAGTGTACAGGCACGTACAGTCTCCTTTTGTGCTTCCAGCACAGTGTGGGCTGGCCAGGGCTTTGCTACCTTCACATACATGAGCTGATCACATTGTTCATGGCTACAGATGCTTTCAGCCTAACAACCATCACATCCAGCTGCAGCAGGAAAACTTGACGGACAGAACAAGGATAGGAAGAAATCACATCAGACAATAGATTCAGAAGCCTCATTGACAAACAGATCAAAGTCCTGGCCACTCTTAAATGAGGCACCAAGGCTGAGCTCAAGAACTACTGAGACAGAAAATGGGCTTATTGTAAAAACAGGCACAAGAGCTTCCACAACGGGCATGTAAGCTGAAGGATCAGAAAAACCCAAGACTCTGTGGAACAACAGCTTTCTTTTAACTCCAGCTCGAGTTCAGCAAAGCACTAAAATCCATGAGTAATCATTAGTCCTGCAAAACAACCGAGCACAGGGACTCCAGGGAGACCCAGCCGGACAGGTGAGGATGCTCATCACATTGCTAATGCGAGGCCTCTACCCTTTCTCTACCCCATACAGCAGAGAGAGTTGAGGCAACATTGGATAAAGAACAAGGAGGAGCTTTCCAGACAGGATTTGAAAGGAAACACATAAGAAAGCATCAGAAGCAAAGGAAAAGGCTTTTACAGTGGCCATTTCTGGGAGGGTCACAGTACTGGGAAGACACTGGAGAACCCAACGAGTTGTAATGATTTTGGTTTTAAGAGTGAGCCAGGGAAAGAGGTGCAAAGGAGCCAGGGGAGGAGTTGCTCTCTGCTGAGGGGCTGGCACCATGGCTGGACACAGTTGCACACCTCTGTAGACCACAGGCTCAGGGCTGGCTCACCCTGCACAGGGCTCAACAGGCCTCATCTGCCCACCCTGGAGACCCATTACCCATTGTTGGGCCATGGCAGCTTTTGATGAAAATGAACAGGGCAGCAGTGCCTACACCCCAGACCCCTGGAGCAGGAGTATATGGGGACAGACTTCCAGCCTACCACAGGAGTGGGCTTCTTTATCTAGCACCACTGGCTGCCAGTGTACCTGCTGGGCAGAACATGGCTGAAACACGTCTGTGAGAGTAAAACCTGCCCTTTTCTGCAGTGCTGGGGGAAAAAATAAATTTAGAGCAAAAAATAACACCAGCCAGATGGCAATATACACTGTGCCAGATTTCCAAGTAGCTTTCTCTACCAAGCTTAGGACAGAGGAAGAGAAAAAGCTCCTCAAACCTGATTTAAACATTTGTCTCCTGCATTCAGGTGCACCGTCCCAGGTGCCAGCTGGCAAAAGCACCTTACAGGTTATAGAAAATTCATGTGAAGGTGCTTGTCCCATGTCACTTGGTCCCTAGACAGCTGTCTTGTAGTGCTACCAGTCAGCAGGAGAGGGATTTTACAAGCTGCACAAACCCTCACTCCGAAAGAGCCCCAGGAGCCCAGCTCTGCAATCTCCTGGTTTAGCAGAGCTGCTGCTGTAAAAGCACAGCCTAAAGGTTCAGCTTTCCTTGCATTTCTCCTGGCTGGGGAAGGACCAGTGAAACACTTCACCACACTCACCTGGAACAGGCCTGCAGCAGCACCACATGCTGCCCTTCCCTCTGGTGCTGCCCATCCCACACCCTGGGTGCTCTGGAAGGGAAAGAGCAAAGAGCTCGCTCATGGCCAGGTAACCAGCCAGCAGAAACCAGGCCTGGTGTCCCAAAGGGCTGACAAGTGGCTACTGATCAGCTCCATACTTATTCTGCAGAAGGTAGAAAGAGTAGTATCAGGGCTTCCTCACAGTCAGACTCAAGGTCTCTCTGACAACCAAGAGCAGTGACAGCCACAGGGATCAGTAGCTCAAACATCTATTTCTGCTTTCTTCTCCCTTGGCCAAAACTCTGGTTTCAGCCTTGAAAAACTATTGGGAAAACATATTAGCCTAGACCCCACATCTGTTTGCCACTTATTATTATTGAAATTAGATTACAAAAACAAACAGTTCTGCTTGCTTTCCCAGTACATTCCTGGGTGTGTGCATGGATGAATGCCCCATATACAGCTTGCACACACAAACGCATTTTTCTCCAGCTTTGTATTTCACTGTGGGTCTGTCAGAGCAAGTCTACAAGTCAAGCTCCTCTTTAAATTGAGCCCCCTTTAGAGTACATTTTTCACTTGTTATCTCAATAGGCTGGTTGGACAGGGTGGATCACAGGTTAACTGCTACAAACTGGGTTTCATTTGGTTTGAAGAGTTTCCAAGAACAGCACTAAGCTAACCAGGAAAACCTCCACACAGGGGATTCCAACGAACATCGAAGAGTAAAAACCAACGTGAGTTTGTCTCCACTGCCATTAAGAAAATTCCGGGTCAAGAGGGAATATTGTTAGAACCAGAGGAAAAAAGAGCTGCAGTTTCCAAGACACCTTTCACTGCCTGAACAAAACAGGTCACTGAATGCACCTGCGCCATGCTGTCCATTCTGTGGTACTAAAAGCTTTAACAGTGCTGCTATTTAAAATTTCATCTTTGAGATTCCCCCCTCGCCCCCAGCTTTGTTTTGTTTCTCCGAGTAGCAAAGCTGCTCTAGGCAAAACCTTTGCATTAGCCCAAGGCACAACCCATGGATTCATATCAAAACTCACTGTCACTGATGGCCTTTGTGGACTGTCTGCCCTTCTAAATCAGATGGATTTATTTTACCCACTTTTACTGAAAAAAAACTGCCTGTAGGGTGCTAAGTACAGCTCTGGAATGACTCTGAGTAGTGCACTAGGACTGAGAGAAGTGTTCTGGGCACTGAAGGAGAGAAGAAGGCTCTTTTCCTGCACAGTTCGTCCACCCTGCACATGCTTGTGTTTGCACAAAGAGATGGCAAGGGTGCCATCACACAGCAAGAGACAAAACTTCCTGATCATCTGCAGAAATATTTCAGAATATTCCCCCAGGTTTTATTGTATGTGAATGACTCACTACAGCAGACTTCTCAAGCATTTTTCTACTTTCCTATCACGAGATGGGAGTCAGGCCAAATCTGGGTGCTCCACTGCTTTGTGCCATTGTCCTCATAGCCATTTCTCAGTGTCTGGAGCTGGGTTCCAGGGTCAGGTGGTGGGCAGGCACAGAGGAAATACAACACATCACTTATGATCAAGTGTAGTATAAAAAC